ACCAAGAAGACAGCCTGAACGTTTGAGATATTCGTTCTATTGGCCTGAAATCAAGAAAGATGTAAATGAATACTGCAGTGCTTGTACTTCTTGTCAACTTCAAGCTAAAAAGCGTCCCTTTGATAAAGTTCCCATTACGCCAGTAACACGTTCTAAAGAACCATTCCAGGTAATTAATGTGGATATCCTAGGACCTGTAGAGGTTACAAATATGTTCTGTGTGCTGTTGATCAATGTACAAGGTGGCCCGAAGCGGTGCCATTGAAGAATTTGAATGCCAAAGCAACATGCGATGCATTGTGGCAAATCTTTTCACGCACAGGAATTCCTCAAATTGTTGCTTCAGATCAAGGAACTAATTTTACTGCTTCGTTGACCCAAGAAATTTTGAAAAGGATCGGATCGTCCCCAAGGTTCTCGACTCCTTATCATCCAAGTTCAAATGGCCTGGTAGAAAGATTTAATGCTGTTTTAAAGGGAATGATACATCATACCGTTAGAGAACATTCGAAAGATTGGGAGAAACATCTACCATATTTACTTTGGGCTTACCGTGAAGTTCCTAATGCTACGACTGGTGTTAGTCCGTTCCAAATGCTTTATGGAAGACGTCCTAATGGCCCGTTGTCTATTTTGAAATCGTCATGGACTAATGAAACTCCTGTTCCTCATGGACAGTTAAGTTCAGTTACCGATTATCTGAATTATTTGAAGACGAAATTGGAAAAAGCTGCTGAATACGCAGGACTTACAGATGTTGGAAAGCAACAAGCTTATGCATTCTACCGTAACCGAAAGACTCGTCATAAAGAATTCAAGGAAGGTGACAGGGTTATAGTTTTAATCTCTGATAGCCAAAACAAAGTTTATGCCAGATGGACGAGACCTGCTACGATCATCAAAAAGCATACTGATTATAGTTACATAGTACAAATGCCTGACAATTCATCGAAGCACGTTCACGCAAACAAGATACGAGAGTTCAATACCGCTGTGAATAATGTCGATGTGATATATGATACAGATATTGATTTCGGCGAAGTTAAAAACGTTCCAAGAATTGTTCCATGGAAAGCAAAAGAACCCTATTCTAATGAGGAATGTGATTTTACACACTTTGAACTGCATAAGAAGAAAGAACTTAAGTAAATTTTAAGAAGGCATAAGAACCTAAGATCTGGTATTCCTAAAATCGCCAATGTGGGAGAACACAGCATCAAACTGAAACCTGGAAGTATGCCAGGAAAGCAGAAACCGTATCGAATACCTGAAGTTCTAAGAAATGAAGCTGATCGTCAAATACATAAGCTTTTACAGCTAAAGCTAATAGAAAGTGAATATGTGCATCCAGTAATTTATGCGTTAACAAAATGGAACAGTAACATTATGTGTAGACTAAAAAGACCATGCTGAATTTATTGATGACGTGACTTAAAATGACATGATTATATTCCCCAGTGAGTGAAGCATGACTGACGTTATGAACTATGAACTATAAGACATTTTGACTGTTTAATTTGATTTTTTTTAGCTAAAATGCTAAATTTTTTTTCTAACGTTATGTAATAGGGTTAAAGATTTAGCTAGGGTTTGCTAAAGTATTATGTTTAATGTTAATGATTGATTTGTATTGTCTCGTTTATATAACTGCTTATATGATTATGATTATGTGAAGGATTTAAGTTTGAAATGTTAATTGAATGTTACCTCTTTTTAAATGAATAGGATTACTGAATTTATGTTGAAGTAATTTTAATTTAAAATGGTAAGAATTGGTTAATTAAGTTCGAAAATTTCATGGATGTTATTTTATTTTGTTTCAAAAAATGTTTATATATGTGGATTTGACAGGTCATTGAAAGACGCAATCAAATCTTTTCGAGGGGAGGTGTCATGATGTGATGACCACGCATGCGCAGTTCAGCCGAACGGCCTGCAACGCCTCTCTCTCATGAGACTTACTAGAGAAGAGTAGTTAGTAGGTAGTAGCGAAGTAACGAAGGAAACGTGTCGTATGTCAGCTTAGATGCAAGATACGAAGTTATACTTGTGTGTTAATAAAGTTTTGTGCCGTTAAAATGGCTGTTTTATGCAACGCACACAATACGATACGTCTACAGTAGGAAGTAAATACACATCCAGAAGCTACACGCCCAACAAAAAGAAGGATATGACAGTAATATTACAAAAATGTGCTCTAACAAGAAATATGTCCACCCCTAGCTGCAATACATGGACGGCAGCGATGCACCATGCTGTCAATTAAATTGTGTCAAAAAACAGGACACAGAGCAATTCTTGTTCAAGCTCATGTAATGACAAAGCAGCAATCTGTCTCCCAAGATAGTTCCAAAGATGCTCTATCGGATTCAGGTCTCAGAATTGAGTTGGCCTTTCCATCTGCTCCATACCTCAAGATATTCTTCAGTGATGAAAGTTACTCAATGACGAAAGTTGAAAAATTAAAAAGTATCCTGTAAAAGATGCATGACTGCTTTGCAGTGCCCCCTCCAAAAAGTACATGACTGATGAAAGATTTTAATTACTTTACTGATAGAAATGCTAATATGAAAATTTTCAACACCAGTTAAAACATTTCGTACTTCCTTGTTAAAAAGGCCACTCTGTCATCTCCAAAACTGATAAACTTAATCTGAGGTTGTCCATATGATATCATCAATTCAATATTTCTTTTTCCCTCAAAAATTTTGCAGTTTTTACCTTATAATCTACTAAAAAAGCAGCAGTAATTTGAGGCATTTATGAAATGTTCCATATTTAATTTAATGTTTACTTCAGGCCATGTGATATTATTCCTTCCTTAATTATTTTCTCAATAAAGTGTTGACTATTTTAAACTTTCCATCAGTTAGGAAATGGATAGGAAACAAGCAGTTTTTTTTTTTTTTTTTTTTAATTATACTGTTTATTTTTCACAATTTCTCCCCTCTAAAATGTTAATCATATTTAACTTGCCATCGAATTAAAAAGAAACATCAGCTTTCCTACCCACAAGTGTACAATTCTGTACACTAGCAAAAGCACAAAAATAGCCACCAAATGCAACAGTTAGCAGGAAGCAAAGTATTTGGAGATGCAATGCACAGAGTTTTTTTATGGGAGAGGAAAGGATCTTTGTACCAATAATTTGTTTAATGATTCTAGTACTTTCTTACAATTTTTCGTTCCATATATCGTTGAGCTGAAGAACTATCTTCGATAAGATGGTGCTATAATATTAAATGTGGATGAAAACAAAACAAATGATTTGAACAACTAGAGAGAAGCTTGTTATCTGGGTTTTAAAATCAAATACTTAGTAACAGGGGGAAAAAAAAAAAAAAATTCATCATCAACATTGATGAAAGTCTATTCATCAAACAAACGGCCAAACAGCAATATCTTGCTGAAACAATGAGTTTGGGGAAGAATCTGCAGAGAAACAAACGAATGCTTTTTTGTGCAAATACCAAAGAGAGACACCAAAATTCTAACAGTCTGATAAAAGACAGGTACACCAATGAAATACAATATATTCCGATAGCTGACATGCTTATCAGAGCAAAGAATTAAAAAATGGTGGTTTCCAACATTTTAATACAACTTTATAGATTCAACATCTCACAAATCGAATGACTTTGAGATGGCAAAACAAAATAACTCTTTTAGGAGAATTGATGTTGTGACATTATTTAGGATGAGAGCAATTATCTGGTTCTGTAACAGGATTATATATTTATCTTTGTAGGTTGAACAATGATAAATATTATTCTCTCTGCACACTATGGTTTTTCATTTATTGAAGGTTACCATAGCATATACTAATTTCTGCCAAATTAATTTTAAATGTTGCTAAATTTCACCAAATGCATATTATGATGGCCACTTTGTTAAAGTGTATCAAACATACAGAAGTTTGTAAAACTGAATATATCTGAAGAACAAAAGCCTAAAATTATTCAGATTTTAATACTGCAGAGGATTTCTACAAACACTGCTCTCAAATAACCAAATTTGTGAATTAAAATTGAAAGAATCAAACAACATTACCACTTCTTTTTTTTCAAATCATTGAGTTTGCTAAACAAAAATTCGCGAAACGTGCAAAAACTATCAAATAAATAAGAAACAAATTCGAAATTCAAACTTTGAGGTGCCCATATTCAGTAGAGGACAGTGGACATTAAAAATTCTGTAGCTGTAGATACTGTCATTTTTCGACAATACAAGAAATACACATTCAGATTCTTCATTATTAATTTTTTTTTTAACAATGCATGGTGATAACATTTGAGGGTAATAATTTGGAAAGTGATTCAGATACAAAGGTGACACAGGCAACAATTGAGTTTCCAGAGTAACAGCACCTCCGATGCGACAAAAAAGAGCAATGTCAAAAGGGCAATGAACACAAGACAATTCTTCACAGGGAAGCAAAAAAGAAGTATATGTAGCACATATGGTTTGGTTTGGTTTGGTTTATTTAATTATGGCAAAGGTCAAACAGGCTATCTGCCTAACAGAGAATGTCTTTTTAGGACTTACGAAGGGAAACTAGCTCGTATACATATTACACATGTATAGCAAATATGAATTTACAGCAATATTTCAAAAGCAGAAGCAATTCTTCTCTTTTACTTACGAAAATTAAACAATTTTACAGTTGAAGAAGGCAACAAATATCTTTAAAAGTGCAATTTACTAGTTCCCCTCAATAATTTATGAACTATTTCATATCGATTTTATGATGCAAGCACATTCTTTTGTTAACCAGAAATTATTATTTTTAGAAACAGACATTTGCAAATATTCTGCTTCAGCAAATGAAATCATTATAACATTATCATCAAACAAAACAAAGTGCATGCCAAAAAAACTAATATACTATACCTAATTTTGCATGGTTTCTTATGTTACATAAAAATAATATTTAAAGCAAAATATTTACAAGAGAAAATATTTCACAGACATAATATTTAGCATAGCAGAAAATTACTTACATAATGCTATATCTTGCTCTAATTTGTAAGCTACCTGTTCAGCTTTTTCTTTTCGCTAAAATACAATAAAGTCACTAAGAAAACTATAAAACAATAAATAAACATTAAACAATAATAAATAAAGTTAAATGAAATTCACTTTATCAATATTAGAACAACTAACCATCAGAAATTATTCTGCTCTTTGGCAGAAATTAAGAGTTCATTAATTATCAGTATTATTATTCCAAGTAATTAATACTCCAATTAACTGGAAAACATACATGCATAATATAGATACTTAAAATGACTTGAATTTTTGGAATAACAATTAATATAATTTTTAAAATACAGTAAAAACTTGTTTATGTGAAACAAATGATGTTAAAATAACATTCAATGACTGAATTCTTCAAACCTATCTATAATGAATTTTTTCCACAGTTTCGTTCTTTAGAGGTAACTATGCAGAGGTAAATATTGTATGATTAAAACAGGTGATCTTAAACTACTGTATATAGGGAAAAAAAAAAAAAAAAAAGGGGGGGGAAACGAAATCTGTTGCTCAGTGAAAATCACGAAGTGACTTGTAAGCATTCTGAGAACGAGATTAAAAAGACCACTCGCGTATTTCTCCCCCTTTCCTACTACTTTTAACTCAAGGCGGGAACAAATGTTCACTGTTTAAAAACAGGGAGGGAAAATGCGTACACTGTTTACCACTGCCCACTATTTACACAGCTTAAATGATAAACATAGCATATTAAAAAGCACACATAGACGCAATATATATTATATTACCTATATCAAAGAAATTTTTAATTTCAACAATATTCTTTTTACTTAGATAAAATACTTTCCCATTTGAATATATATTTAAAATTGCTACCACCTATCAGAAGTTTCTGAATCATATGCTGAAAAAACTGGGGGGGGGGTTGTGAAGGAGAAAAACATTATTAATATTATTTTAACTGATATAGATATGCATTATACTGGAAAACATACATGCATAATATAGATATGTAAAATGCATATACATTTCTTTAATAATATTGCAATTATTTCTATCTACATATTCCAAAAAAAAAAAAGGGGGGGAAGCTATTTTCTATTAGTTTGAAGTAACAAAATTATACTTCACACGGTAATTAAAAAAATGAAATGAAAGCTGAAGCTTATGAATGCAAAAGCATGTGCATAAGATGGGCTTCTCGTTCATACTGACAGAACCACTCAATACTCACAATCAAAAATGAAAGCACAAGAAATATCCTGTGTGAGATAAAATGTCATGTTTTTAAAATATTTTATTTTTATAATAAAATGCAAAGTAATTAATAATACTTCTTTGAATCTTTGGGCCCAGTTATCCGAGATAATTATAAAATACTGCTTTATGTTTCTCTTAACTCATGAAAGTGATTTCTTCAATCTTTCCCTAACAACCTGGAAGGAACCCATCAAGACTTCCTTTCAAATGCCTCCATATACTCCATATAATGTGATTAGATACCTTAAAAAGTATGAAAAGAGGTGAAAACCTTAAATCTATTGCTTAATCTTTTGGTACTTTTGATAGGGATAGAAGAATGCGATCGATTCATTTTGAAGTAAACTTGATGATAAAAGTGATAATCGAGTTTCGATTTACTGTAAAGAAACCGAGAAGAAATTAGACAATGCTTTGCTGTTATGATTTAATCAAGAGTAATCCATGCATAATCGAGTCAGTCAGAGATTGCTGAATCTACAATGATAAAAATCTTGTCGGAAACTATGGTCACCATATCAAAAAATTGATAGAATAAAAGAAATGGAATTCATATGCTCATGATTTCAGGGAAAAAAAATTATCAGCTGATTACGAAGCTGCAACAAAATTCAAAGAAAAATGGAAAGCTCTTATTAACGAAAAGGCTTTATCTGATGAACAAGTTTATAATGTGGATGAAACTGGTCTGTATTGTATATTGCTTCCAGAGAAAACATTAAGACCTAGAAAAAAAGCTGCTGCACAAGGCTACAAAAAATGTAAAGATAGAGTGATAGTTGTATGCAGCAACACAGTTGGAACCCATAAACTCTCTTTGATGATTGAAGGCAAATTAACAAAGCCAAGAGTGTTTAAAAATATTAACATCAAGTCCCTGCCAGTGCACTATTGAGCTGTAAGGACTGCTTGGATGATTCAAGCGCTATTCAAAGAATGATTTTAGTCTGAGTTTGCTCCAGCTGTGACAAAACATTTCAAGTCAAAAAACTTCCCAATGGAAGTACTACTTTTATTGAACAATGCTTCATTTAATCCTAAGTGAAGATGAATTGAGGTAGTGGGTGATATTGAAGTAGTCTTCTTGCCAGCTAATTTGATGTCTCTATGGACCAGGGTGTGACAGAAAATTTAAACAGACGGTATCAAAGAAAGCTTTTAAATGCTCTCAGTGAGGAAGCTAACTCTGATTTCAATATCAATTTATTAAATCGATTAATATAAAGAAAGCTTTTCATATAATAGCTGAATCATGGTCAGAGATTGCCAAATCTACAATAAAATCTTGGTGGAAATTTAGTCATCAAAGAACCACACAAAAAGAGGCGGTCACTACAGTTGAAGAGATAGGACTTTTCTACTAACAACCTAGTGTCACCATCCAAATGTCTCAGTGGATGCCAAGATGTTGATATCGAAGATATGGATAGGGCTTTTCTGCAAGTCAGGTGTCAGATGATGCTGTCCGTTATCAGATGATGACATCATCAGAGCTGTCACTGATGTGGTTTACGAAGATGGTGGCTCCAACATTGGTGACAATTCAACCTCCATCATATTACGTACAGATGAAGCAAAAGCATTCAAAATAGCTTTATGCTAGGCGAACCAGGTATCGGTCTCCTTCACTGACATGATGCTTTTAAAGAATGGCGAAATAATGAGTTGCTGAATTTCCAGGCTTCAGCAGGAAAAATAAAATTTAAAAAATTTGATGGCTTTCAGACTTTACTTTATGCCCAAAAGGGGCATTTTTTTTAACGTTTTGTGTGTTATCTTTATTTACTAAATATCATATTATTCGCATTTAAACCATAAAATTCAATTCAACAGCAATATTGCAAAATAATTTTTAAATGAGCATATCTTTAGAATTTCCATTACTCAGTCTCGCATGCTGGAGGAAAAAGTGTCCCCCCCCCACATCGTGTTGCCATACCTTGCTTTGAAATAGGTGAGTTTGTTAAACAAAAATGTGTGACAAAATATGAGCACTGTTGTTTTATCGCAATGAGTCTTCATTATTTAATTTCTTAAAATATAATAGACAGCTGTAATATTTGGTGGCAACAGTTTCAAAAGTGAAACAGTGCAGCAAGTGAATCAATGCAAAATACCAAAAACGAAATCAATAGCCCTACTGGGCCAACGCTCTTTGGATTAAAAAAGAAAATATATATATGTATACAAAAAAATCTCAAGGCCTTTAGATTTTATATTATGCCCAAAGAGACTTTTTTTTTTTTTTTTTTTAACGTTTTGTGTGTTACCTTTATTTATTATATTCTTCGCACTTAAATCATAAAATTCAATTCAACTGCAATAACTCAAAATAATTATAAAACGAGCATGTATTCAGAATTTCCGATACACAATCTCGTGCGCTGGAGATAAAAATGTTCTTTTTTTGTTCAGTTTTGCCACTGCTCGGTTTGAAATCGTCGAGTTTCTTAATCAAAAATTTGTTAAAGTTTTACAAAATATGAAATAGATACAATTTCTTTAAATATAATACAGGGCTCTAATATTTGGTGGCAACAATTTGAAAAGTGAAACGACATTTTTAGTGAACCAACACAAAATGCCAAAACAAAATTAATAGCCCTTCTGTGCTAAGCGTGCTTTAGGCTGCTAAAAAAAAAAAAAAAAAGGTAAATAGAAAAGTTTTTTAAAAAATCTGAAAGCTTTCAGATTTTACATTACGCCCAAAGAGGCATTTTTTAAACATTTTGTGTGTATCCTTTATTTATTGCATTTTTTAAACATTTTGTGTGTATCCTTTATTTATTAAATATCATGTTCTTCGCACTTACACCATAAAATTCAATTCAACAGCAATATTGGAAAATAATTTTAAAACGAGAATATCTTTAGAATTTCCAATACACAGTCGCACATGCTGGAGGAAAAAAAAAAAAAAAAAAATTTTTTTTTGTACTATGTTGCCATAGCTCACTTTGAAATCATTGAGTTTTTTGATAAAAAATTACAAAATATGATATCTATAATAAAACAAATCTCAATTCAGTTTTGTTTAGAAAAATGCTGTGTGTGTGAAAAATGCACTTTTCATTGGACTTGTGCATTCAATTTTCTATGAAACCATATGCATGCAAAATATACATTATTATCAGAAGTGAAAATGTGTGCATCCTGTGACACAAGCATACATATTATAGACACAGCTATCATCCTCTTTAAAGATATTAAGATACAGATTCATTCAGTCATTGAGGCAGTCTTTTGACAAGGGTGAACCAGGATGTGGTGCCTGCTGGTTAATTTTGCCAATAGGGGAATAATAATAATTTTTACCAGTGAATATACCCCACTACAGCAATTGTGTGAGGCAATTTTCAAAAAGCAGCTAGAATTTTCAGTCCAGACCTGACACTCAGCAATTTTACTCTTTTTTGGAACTTAGAAAAACCACTTGGGTGGTAGGCAATTCACAACCAATACTGATATTCAGCAAGCCATTTTTGGGAACTTGACATTGTTGTTTTAATGTACTGATGGAAAAAAATATTTAGACAAGCATGATTATTATGTTCAAAAATAATGCTGACCAGTGACTTGTTACCATGTGTTTGTACATGCTTCTACAACAAGAGACAAAGTTCATCTACAAGCTTGTTACCTTATTTTTTAAATTGCCGTGTATTTACCTCATTTAACTTATTTTTCTATCATATTTTTGTTCACTTATGTAGTCATTACTTAATCATTTCAAGAATAATTTGGTAAGTCAACTTTAAGCAATTTTTTAAGAAATATATAGAGACTTTAGATAACGAAAACTCATACTTTTCTTTCTTGTCTTTCTTCTCTTGTTTCAATGCGCAGTGGAGGTGGAGTATTCTTAGGATCCTATAATATACATACATAAATTATTAATTTTTAATATAAATTACAACCAAAATTATTTTTTAAATAATTACCAATAAGAATATATATTACTAAGTAACCTCAGTACACTGAGACAAATACATATGGTACGAAACAAGTAGTTTGATTATGCACAAAGATGTATCTTTTATAATAACACAAATAATTACTATGCCTGTCACATACTAGTAGAAAAGATATGTGCTAATGTAAGAACACTTATTTTCCCTTTGATCTCCCTATGAGTTTGATGGTTGCACTTTTCAATTCAATAAAAATGTTTCTTCTGTTACCGAGATCGGATTCAGAAATGTATGTATTTATATATGTATGTGTATGTATACACACATGTACATACATATACACATATATATCTAAGTCCGATTCTGATAAACAAAAAAGTACCAAAATGTTTTACATTTAAGAGTAGACAGCTCTTAAATCGATAACACTGAATATTTAAAATCTACATCAGTCTAAAGCAGCTTTTTTTACCCCTTCATACAATTCACATTTTACAGCTTTTTGCATGCCATCTTATGAGATTTAAACTGATGATCTATAATCCGTAAAAATCGATATACATTCATTGTGCTTGAAGAGTAATGTGGCGATATGTGTTCTGCGCTGGTTTTCGGCATGATTGCATGTTGTATGGCAACCTTTTGACGTTGAAAACTCTTGGTTTGTGTCGTGCCTGTTTTGAAATGGCCTATATTGCAATGAGAGATGTGGTTGCAAGAGGGTCTGGAAGATTATTTTTAGTGGCTGTGCATGATAGAAGTAAGGAAATAGTGATACAGTGCATTAAAGAGTGGATAAAGACTTGTACAACTTATTTTTTCGGATGGCTGGAAATCTTACAAGGATTTAGGAAAAGAAGGTTTTGAACATTTATTTGTGAATCATAGTATGAATTTTGTGGATAGCAAGTCTGGCTGTCATATAAATACCATAGAGAATACATGGCGGCATGTTAAAGCTATATTCTGCTGTCCGAAAAAACATCCTATATGGTAAGTGCATTTTATTTTGTAGAATTTTATGTTCATTGTTTTTGGAATTATTTGTAATTTATTTTAGTTATTCTATTAGGTAAAATCCTAGTATACAGCACAATTTTGAAAATTATCACCAACACCTAAATGACCCGTTTAACTACTCATCATATATGTCTCGTTTATTGCTTATCATAAATTCGTCAAATCTCTTGTGCACCGGATACTAGAATTAAACCTTTTATTGTTTATTTTGTTGATTTGTGCGGGATGCCTAGACTGTGGAATTCGTAGATTCTTTTTAAGTTTACACAGAATGCTGTATACATGGTATTCTTTGAAATTTACCGTTATGTTAATTTATTAAAGCGAGGTGTGGGCAGTTTATAGATTCCTTCGCTGCCTATATTGTGCAATTTGTAGACTTTTTTTTTTTGGAAGTTAAAAGATATGGTTGTATACATGGATTCTTGTCAAATATTTTTGGTTAGAAACTTTACGTTTTTGCAATCTAAATTTTTTGTTTTTGTTTCGGATTTTTAGCTTAAATTGTGTGTTCAAAACGTGATTTTTGCATATGCGAAACAAGCTTCATAAATCAAATCAGATATACTTTTACTTCAAGCAAGATATACAGAAAGACAAAAAGGATGACTAAAGATGCTTCCCAGTACTTATACGGTTATGATTTCATATTAAGGGCAAAAAAATCACATAACATACTTCAGAAGCATATACAACTCTAAGTCCGTTAAGCTGTCAACTAAGCTACATACACTTCCATTATGGCTAAAATGTTTCAAAATTAATCTTTCTATTATAAAAGGCAGCAAATATTCAAAAAGAAAAGCGTTTATGAATTAAAAAACATTCGATAACATACAAATTTAACATTATGAAATACATAATTATATCGATAAATCCACAGTCAAATACCTAATGTAAACTTTCTACGTAGTATAATATATTCAAATATATAAGTGAAGAAAAGTAACGTACAACTTACTTCAAACTGATTTACGAAAGAAGCAATACCAGTATAACCAGCAGTTTTCTTCTCATACGGCAATTTATCCACAGGTGGTAAATATGGAATTGGATCACGCGGCGCAAAGTGTGCTAACAAATTAGGTGGAAGAAACTGTGTCATTTTGTTTAAGGTTTAAAATTAAAAATTGTTATCCCAATGGTGGTCAATCTCAAGCTTTCGTACGCTTCTTCGTTACGAAGCCTGAATTTCGGTGCCCTTTGTCCTTCTCTTCACTTCTCTTCTTCAAGGTATGTGTCTACCCTAAAATCGTCGTCCTTGGTGAAAATTTTCGCATTTTTTTTTATTTATTCATTTTATAGGTCACACATTTAGGTTTATTTAGGTTGCAAAAATGCTTTATTTTTGTTTTTACGATAACTATAAACAAAATTATAGTATAAATAATAAACCGGAATTGAAGTTAGGATGCCGGAAGTTCGCATTTAAAGGGACGTAAATGTAAACAATAAATTTAAACAGCTATTTAACAATATAAAAACTGTAACAATACATAAAATTTTAATTAAGCACAGCTTTAAACAATATAAAAGCTGTAAAAGCAACATATCTTTCACTGCGTGACAAGAGGATAAAATGACTACATAGGAAGACAGAACAATAATGAGTGTTTTAATAACCTTTTGTGGACTATTTTACCTAAAGAAACTTTTGTCCCCCTGAACACTTTGCGTTTAGGTGCACTTACTACTGTCTTATTATTTAATCCAGGATATTTAGGACGTTTAGCTATTTTCAGGTAGTATCTAGAAATAGAAATTAATCCCATTATGTTTGAAAGCTTGATGGGAATAGACCAAGGAGGTTAAATATTGCCTATATTTAAAAAATAATGAAAGTTTCTGTAAAATCCCATTTCAATTCATAGTTTTATATCATATCTTACTAAAAAAACATGTGTGTTTAATTTAAATTTTATGTATTTTTAAAAAGAGGTGCTTCGTATGTAAGAATCAATTTCAAATGCTTACTTTTACTTACACTAGCGGAAATTAGCTCCCAAGAAACATACGCTTATTAGCGTCTGGACACCGCAGACTAGACCCCCATAGTCGCAAAAACCGCTTCATCATATCCCATATCTCTGATAATTCCTTTACTGAACTTGATTCGGCCTTCATTAGTTTCTTGACTCATCAGCTGTTCTTCCGATTTGGTTTTCTGCGTCTTTTTTCCTTTTCCTTTTTTCGGCTTCGGACTCCTCAAGAACTCCTCTCTCTTAGAAATTACCGGCTATGAAACCGTTGACCTTTCCGAGTCTACATAGTCACTGTAATCGTCGTCGTTGAGATCCGGTGTCTTAAAGAAAGACATTTTGTTACCCTATAATACTAGTCAGAAAATACGTTATCAATACGCTCAGCACAACTTCGCTGTCCGCCTACGTGACTGGGACAACTGTACTGAATCGAATCAAAGAATTACCCCGGATTACAACCTTTAAGTCTCTATCCTGAGGGAGTATAAATGAGTGGTGTTCAATTCTGGCAGCACGAAGTAGTCTAACAATGACTTTGTAGTCATTAGCATCCTTTGCAAAAATTTTAATACCTTAAGGGGTATTTTTACTCATGACATCTATGTTTCTCTAAATGAATGTGTTTCTTAAATTTTGAGAAATTTCGGCTGGGCGGAGCTTTCACAGCCGACTGTTATAGAGTGGCTGTGGGAGCTTCGTTGTGACGTCGGCTTACGCATGAAGTGACGATCACGTGACCTCCCTGCGCGTTCGGGGATCGAGCGCTAACTGATAGATTATATTTATATGAAACGTTTTAGATATTGGGTGGTTTGAATGTTGTATCCTGCGTAATGTGGTGGGATTGAGTATATTATGAAAACTTAGGTTAATCTTTAAAGTTTTTATTTTCGTTATAGGTAATAGTATTTCCTTTCATTTCTTTTTTGTATATGTCATGCTGAAATCATTGTATCTGCAAATATAAATACAGTTTCTCACATTAGTTTTCGGACACTTATCTGATCTCAACCTTGATTGATTTTTGAGCTTGTATGGAAAATTTTCTGCATTGTAACTCCGCAATTTGTTTTTGCTGTTTTATTTTATGGATTTTGTATTTGTATGTGTTCTTTTAGAATGCATTTTGTGTATAGCATCTTGACTATTTATAGTATTTTGTATCGTATTCTACTCTTTCATCATATTACCTATGGTCATTTTTTTTAAACTCACTTCAACAAGAAATCAGGTAGCTTTTTTCCTGATGAAGAAGGACCTATACCGGAAGCACTTCCGCAGAGAACCCGGTATATGTAAACATCGCCAACTTTGGCGATAATAGTGCAAACCTGGTAACCCAGAGGATTTATACTATTTGCTTGTTCGAAGTTAGCAACCATTCCTCTTGGGTTAATTTTGTTGAATTATCACTGTCGTTGTTCGCATGTGTAGATTTATATTATTCTTCTCTTATTTATTATTATTTTTACTGAATTTTTTAACAACGAATAGATAGAAATATTTTCGAAGATAGATGCCCGTTCTCGGTTCGGGATGAAAAGAAGAAAATACGGCGGGAGGGGTGAATGCTAATTTGTAACACGGCTGTTCACGTAGTGTTCTTAATTATTAACAGCTCTAAGAACCATGAGGTTTCCAACCTCTAAAATAATTTGTTTTCGTAGGCCGCAAAAATGTGCATGTGCATTTTAAATAATTAAGTAATGCTTTTATTTTTATTATTGGTTATTGTCATCTAAAATTATGAGAATAAATCAATTTTTATGGCGTAAAATTTTAACAAGATAATATATTATTAATGCTTTTCTAACAATAACCTTTCAGATGATGGTAGGTGTGACATAAATAGATGATTAAATTGAAATAAAAAAATATTGATTATCTAAGATGACTGAATAGTTTGATGCATCACCATGGTCATCAAAATTAGCAAACCGCTGCTGGTGTAAGGAATATATTGTTTTCTGTTTTAACTGGAATTTAAGACAAATTTTTTTCGTAAATCACGTTTAACCGGTTAATTTCAGTAGATTAATACTAATTTATATTTTTAAATGAATTTTTAATTCCGTTATAAATGCTGATAAAGTGTCTTATTCTTAATATATTCTTTTTTGAGCTAACTTGAATTTAATACAAATTCATTTTTGTATATCACGTTTAACCGGTTAGTTTTACATCTACATGCTTATTATCTGTGAATTTATACTACCATATGCTTAATATATTGTTTTGTCTGCTAACTTGAATTTACATGCGCTAAAAATCACGTTTACGGCTCGGCTCGTCGATGATTCTTTGGATGAACCGCGAGCTTGGCGAGTAAAAATGCAACGGCGTCAACGGGTTCTTTCCCGAAGCGCCAACGGGTTCTCTGCGGATGAAAACCCCCCATTCAAAATCCATAGAATTCTTGACTAATTCTACGCCAAACACTTAATTGTTGCCAAATTTATGTTCCATTAAGAAGAGTATATATATATATTTCCGGGTCATCTATATTATTTTCTACCCAAACTATATTTTTATAATTTATGTTCCATTAAGAAGAGTATATATATATATTTCGGGTCATCTATATTATTTTCTACCCAAACTATATTTTTTGTACCAGGAGCACGTCCCCAAACCATAATGCCTCTACTTTTATGCTGATATGTGGAGTTAAAATTTCGGATTAAATTTTGGTTGATCTTTAGATCATGGTAACTTGGCGATTTTTTGGCGAAAATTTGGCGACCAACTCTCCTACAGCAACCCTCTATTTTTTTTTCCGCCGCCATTTTGTCTTCACGAAGTAAAGACATGTTTCTTTTCTTTTTATCTACTGAACACTTCTTCCAACAATCTACTAACCGAATTACACTTATGCTAGAAATTTTATCTAACAAAACTGCTTAATCATGACAAATATTCACTGCAAAATTGGGAAAAAGTGCACAATACCATACTCCTTACGCGTTTTTCAAAATAACACATACTCATAAACCATGTGCACGTCGACTTATTTTTACTTAAAAAAAATCCCAGAATTACACAAAAATGGCATTGCGCACACTCTTCACTATATCCTTGTACACTGCTTTTTTCTCATAAATTAGAACAATTTCACGAAAATACTTGACAATTTTCTGAATCTTTAAACCCGGTAAAAAGAACATATATGAAATTACCTGATCGAAAAAGATCGACAAAAAAAGTATGTTACCCTTTCCAAATATGAACATTTCCACATATAAAATAAATAAAATATCCAAAAACTTTTACCTCTAAATCATCTATTATATTATAAACGTCACCAACGAATTCATACCGCAAGCATTACAAATACTTAGTGTCAAATATTTAAATTATTTCCATGCACGTTTACTTCAACTAAAACATATACCAAATTCCTACAAACATAAAATTCACAAAATAACTATCATTTAATTAAAATATCACTAAACCATGTACACGTCGACTTATTTTTTACTTAAAAAAAAAATCCCAGAATTGCACAAAAATGGCGTTGCGCACACTCTTCACCATATCCATGTACACTGATTTTTTCTCATAAATTAGAAAAAATTCACGAAAATGCATGACAATTTTCTGAATCCTTAAACCCGTTAAAAAGAACATATATGAAATTACCTAATAACGAAAAAGTATATACCCTTTCCAAATATGAACATTTCCACGTATAAAATAAATAAAATATCTAAAAACTTTTACCTCAAAATTATCTATTATATTATAAACATCACCAACGAATTCATACCGCAAACATTACAAATACTTAGTGTCAAATATTTAAATTATTTCCATAGTGTCAAATATTTAAATTATTTCCATGCACGTTTACTTCAACTAAAACGTAAACGTAAACTAAGCGTACGAGATTTAAACTGATGATCTATAATCCGGAATCGCCGAAGTCCCGACGAGTCCAGATTAACGACTTTTGACTGTATATCCATTTGTCTAGAAGACGTTCTGTATTGTTTACAGTGGATTGGGGTGTTTTCTGTCAATTTAATATCATGTGTTATTAAATGATTTTTTCCAGGCTTATTAGAAAAGATGTTAAAAAACTTCAGCAGCAGATCATGTAATTCTTAAATATGTTGTTCATTTAGCTTATCACTTAAGGAACTGTTTTCTTTAATGTGCTCAAAATTGAACAATGTTGGTTCAGAGTCAATTGTTGGGAAATTTTCCTCCATATCATCAGTTTCAGACTGATCTTTTGTAATCTGAAGGTTAACTAATTCTGCTCGCGTATGATAAGGTTTTAGCATGTTAACATGGTAGATTTGAAGATCTTTTTTTCCTTCGAAACTCGCAACATAATTAGTTTCGGATAATGTCTTCTCAACCTTCCCATTCAACTGCTAGTCTGTTTGGTTTATCTGTTGGTACGACTCATACTAAATCTCCTTCAGAGAATTATCTTTTAATAGCTTTGCGATCATACCACACTTTTCTTTTGGTTTGCATTTCCAGCATTTTATCTGTATCTTTGCATTTTTTAAACCAATTTATCAATTAAAAACATATTCAACAACATTATTTCCTTCATCTTCAGGATTCATCCATTATTCATATAATAATGTTACAGGTGTTTTAAGATTTTGGCCATATACTAATTCTGCAGGTGTAAATCCTGTACTCTCGTGCATTATTCTTCTTAAAGCAAATAGAGCTGCGGGAACTTGCTTCTCCCACTCAGGGGCTGCTTCGATACATATTAAAATTCATTTGATTGTTTGGTGAAATCTTTCAACATGGTTGCTTTACGGATGGTGTACTGAGCTTCTAGTTACTTTTATTCCAAATTTTTCTACAAATTCAATGGCTAGATTGCTCATAAATGAGATACCTTTAAATTTTCTTGGTGTGTATTTCTTTCGAGAAACCCATTCTACTAAATACCGGGTGCCCATAATTAAACTGACAGTGCTCACAGTGTTCTGTAGCGCGATCTGTTTGCAAGAACGACGCTACATTTTGTAGGAAGATTAAACAAGACGGGGGACGAAGGATTCTGCGTAAAAACAAATTAGTTCCAAAAGTCACCCCTAGGGGAATATTTGGCGCTATGTAATAGAGTGTTAATGAATGTAAATTAATACGGAATAAAATTACCTTTTATTATGCACATTTTCTGATTTAGTTCAAGTGAAATATGGCAACACTTTTAAAAAGCGTAAAATCTACATAAACACCGATAAAGTCTCGTGATATGCAATATCACGTATGCTGAGCAGAAGAAGTTCTTTATTCAAATTTCATGTTACATCCATTTGCACAGTGCCAGCTGCTTGTGTTTTAAAAGGCAATGTGTTACATTTCAAATCAATCGGATTGAAAGTTTATGTGCAATGTCTCCTTCTTTAGACAAGCGTGCGTTACTGGTCAAATTCTTTTACCTCAACCAGTGCACACATCAGCCGCTCTTCGTGCTTTTAGAACGCACAAAAAAATGCGTAAAGATAACGGTCCTGTGTGAGTTAATGGGCTAAAAGCAATGGTTGCGACGTTTGAGAAAACAGGTTCTCTGAAGGTTTCAGGCAGAGGACGAAAACCTGTACCACAGGATACAATCGAAGCAGTTGCCACGGCGATTGTCGACAGAGGACCAGACAATATTGCTGCCACCTCTAGTGCTCATGGAGTAGCTCAGAATATGGATATGCCTTACAGTACGGCTTCTATCCGTACAAGATCAACCATGTACAGGAGTTACTCTACCCCAACCATAATAAGCGATTGACTTTTGCTCTAACCTTTCTTGCAGAATGGAGGTGGATGATGCTTGGCCGTGGAAAATCTTATGGGGAGACGAGGCCCACTTTTACCTGAATGGAACTGTGAATACCCAGAACTGCCGAATTTGGGATGACAAATCACCACATGCAGTCACAGCAATTCCCTTACATTCACCAAAGGTAACTGTTTGGTGTGGGTTCACAGCGGAATTTATCGTAAGTTCATTCTTCTATGAGAACTTTACCCTGACAGGACCGGAAACCTGTTCTGTTACCTGAGAGAAATATCGCCACATGTTGAACAGCTTTCCGGCACTTCACCAAACATTTGAACAGTCATTCCGGCACTTCACCAAAGACAATGCGTGGGGAAAATCATTTTCATGCAAGATGGAGCCCCTCCACACGTTGCTGTACAGGTGCAACAGATGCTACGACAGAAATTCACTACAGAGTCATTAGCAGCTACTTTCCAATTACATGGCCACCTCGGTCTCCTGATCTTACCCCATGCGACTTCTGGCTATGGATTTTAAGTCCAAAGTCTATCAAGGAGTGGTCCAGGACCTGGCTACATTGAAGGATAACATATCATGGACTGTACAGGAGATTCCTGCAGACATGTTATTTTCTGCTGTTGTGCATACTGTGCACAGAATGCAATATGTGGTCCACAACAACGACAGCCACATTGAACCTCATTTGAATGCAAAATAAAAGGTAATCTCTGTATTGATTTACTGTTACTATGCTGTTACTAAAAAAAAATGGGCCTATTTTATAATCTTTAGTCTATCAAATAGTTCTTTGACAGTGAAAATTCCTTTTTTCCTTTCTTAAATTATTAATCGTTTCGACACGACAATTAGCCAGAAATTAATTAATTTCCATTCACTAGTATTTTCAAAAAAATTTTAACAGACGGTTTCACTCCAATAAGACCACACAGAATACATCCTTCAAGAATTCCGAGTCCCACCCACTATCATAAATTACTTCACCCAAGTCTTACCAACTGATATTATTCAAAGCTCCCGCTGGCACTAAGAATTTTCGGAAACACAGAGAACACTTTGCCCACTCCCCACTAGAAAGAACGTAAGTTAGTTAATACTTTTTCTGGTCTTTATATCTTCATGTACACTTTTCTTATTATAATTTTTATTTTTATTAATTTTTACAAAGTTTGCATTATTTATCTTATTTTTTGTAATTTTCTAATGTTTATTTCAACTACTTTGAATTCTATTTCATAATGCCAATTTCCAATGTTTAATTTTTACAAATAATATTGAACTCAAATGCATAAACACGAGGGTGTCGGGGGATGGTTACTCGAACATTATTGAAATTTACTGCAGAAATTGCTTTTCACTCAAAATTGAATTGGCTAAAATGCTTAATAGGAATAAGTTCTTTGAATATCAGCATTGGTTCATAATCCCTTCTATTCATGGAAATTTTTAGCCTGACTTTAATTGCCGGTTTGGCTTAGCCTTATTGCTCGAGTAAAGATGAAACACCTTCGTATTTATTTATTAATTATTGTTTATTGAACGGGAGTTGGTTTGTTCCCCTTGAAAAGTCAACTAATTTCTGATCAATGACAATGATTACATGCATTTAATTTAATTCTTGCCTTTAATTTATTCCATTTACAATTGAAATTTTGTTATTCATGATTTATTTCCACTCCCCGTTAAAACATTTTTCACATTTTACTTTCAAGTTACTTCAAAACATCTTTCAAAATATAACTTGCTAGTATGGATTCACTCTTTTAAGGTAATCCTACTATAATTAAACTTAGGAGCTAATATAATCATTTAATCAATATTGTTTAGTAAATAAATTATATATATATATAGAGAGAGAGAGAGAGAAAGAGATGGCAAATTAAATGTAATTCAATTGATTGCAATTAATGAACTGAAAATTAACAAATGGTTAGTTAGAAAAATGTACCTTGCATACACATTTTCAAGGTTAAAAGTCACAATCAGATTAAGGAAATTTTAATGCCTAATTGGAAAATAAAATATACTTAATTTTGAATAACAAGAGGTGTTCTACTATTTGTGACAGTTAATTTCAAGTTATTGCTGCATTAAAAGGTCTGAAACTGGTAGAATAGACAGTGTCTGGAGCTGAAAAAGAATAAGATATTGAAATTCTTCATACATTACTAAATTGCCAGGTTTAATATCGCTTGCTTTAAAATGGATGTCATACCTATTTTTATTTACATTATGATAATCATAGACCTTTTTTGAGTAATTTTTCTAGCTTCTTCAAATGGTGGGTATATTTCTGATTTTCAAGTATGGGATCGTGGCATATTTTCCATACATTAAATAAGATAGTGGAAATTTATTTACGGAATGTCATATATTATGGTATTATTCTGTAATCTCAGGCAACAATTTTGTTCATGCAGTAGTAGTACCTTGATAAGAATTTAATTTACATTTTAATCTAGGTGTAATGGTTTGAGTAACCCTCTTTCAAATTTAGCAGTAGTTAATAATTGTGTAACATTATTATATCTTAAAAAGCATATAACTGTGCAAAAAAAAGGGGGGAGAGACAGTTCTATATCTCCCGTTCTGCTTGGCTGATTTACGAAATGCAAATTGTATTTTTCCTGTCTCAAAAGCACAACTTTTGCTATTAAGTTTTTTATTAGATTTGTATATAGCATTGTCCTAGTATAGATATTTTGGCACAAAATCTGGACATTTTTTGAAATGGCATGCCAATTTTTTTCCATATTTTGATTCTACAATCTACATTATTCCTAAATATTACATTTTGTAAAATTTAGTGCGAAATTTACAGAAAAATTCAAAAATTTACCTTGGCAGCTTTTTTTCAGTTTGCGCCATGAATAATTTACTTGCCGAACTTTTTAATTTATAGCAACCAATTTTTCTTTTCTTTATTTAATTGTACAGGAGCAGGGGAAAAATATTATTCATAATTTTCAAATCATTTTAACAAAGTGCATAAACAACATTTGGCATTATTATCATTCATAACAAATATTCCAAATTTTAAAATGTGCCAATATGTAAATTAAAGTACATCTTAGAAAATGTTGAATTAAAATACACAGGTATACATAGAAAGACATCTACTTTAAGATGATGGTAAACATTTTATAGGTTATAATACAAAAAGTTTTTCAAAAAATTAATAAAAATTATTTAAGAATTTAATACAGAATACAATTTAGAATACAAATTTAAAAAATAAATTTTAAAAATGTGTGATTTTTATTTAGAATAAACCTAAATTTTGAAATGTGGAAGGAGGAATCAAAAAAGTTTAATAAGAAAAGGAGATATTAATAAATATATACCAAATTCAATAAAGTGGAGGAGATGAAATTTTTAGAGCTAATTTTTTAGCAACTCTGTGGTTGAGTTGCTAATTTTTTAGCAACTCAGCCTTTTACAAAACTTGACATTCTGTCATAATTTGAATCGTAGAAAAGAAATGTGGAAAAAAATTGGAATGTTATTTCAGAAAAAGTCTGATTTTTGTGTCAAAATATCTATGTTAGAATAATGCTCTATATAAATCGAATATTTAACCCAAATCGTGCTTTCGAGACATGAATAAGACGAGTTGAATTTCTTCAATCGGCTCAGTAAAGTAGGAGATATAGAAATGTCCTCTTCCCCCTTTTTTTTAAAATTTTTGTTATTTATTTATTTTTTGCGCAGTGTACATTTTGAAGATGTTAAAGCAGCATTTCTATTTCTTAAAATTTTCTTTGGGGTTTGAAAAATTTGTCTTAAACAATTTATATAAGTATCAGTAGTTACATTTTTAAAAGTAAACGTCTGTATATAATGAGTAGCATGATGTATAATAATGTGAATATATTTTTAGTAGAATAATAATAATTTAAACCATCAGTAGTATCAATAGATAATAATTTGACAGATTCACTTACGGATGGTAAGCCAAACCTGGCTTACCATCTGTAAGTGACTGGGCTGATTGAAGAATTCAACTTGCATTTTTTATGTCTTGAAAGCACAACTTTATATATAGCACTGTTCTAATATAGGTATTTTGACACAAAAGTGAACTTTTTTTTTTTTTTTTTGAAGTGATATGCCAATTTTTTTCCATATTTTGATTCTATGACTCAAATTATGCCAAACTGCCGAGTTTTGTAAAAAAAGTATGAGTAGTTTTTAAAAAGTTAGCTCTCAAAATTTTATCTCCTCCATGTTAATTAAATCTGATATATATTTATTAATATCTCTTTTTTATTAAATTAATTTGATTCTTCCCTTCATATTTCGATATTTATATGGAGTAATTTTTTTAAATATACAGTGTCTCACAAAAGTGATGGGACACTTGTGCTTTACAAAAGGAAACTGTAATAAAATAAATTAAAAAAACATGTAAACATTTTTTGTGGGTGTGTTTCATACTTAAATTTAGTAACAATTATTACATAACATACATTTTCTCAAAATATTTAAATATTAATTTAATAAAAATAGAATTGTTTAGAACGGAGCAAAAAATGGCTCACATAAGTGATGGGACACCATTAGATACTACTACGTACTACAATAAAAATATTTTTGGTGGTTTTTATTTTTACTCAAAAGCAATTGGCAATAATTTATAAAATAGTCTGCAGTATTTCTCTCCAGTTTGTTTAGGAATTTATGTGTTTTTTAGCTCTGTGCAGCTATGAATGCTAAACGAAAAGAAACTTTGCCTGAAATTCGAAAATTAGTTATTAATTTGCCTATTGAACGTGGAAAATCTATTAGAGAAATTGCTGAAACAGTTAACTTGAGTCATTCAACAGTTTTCAATATCATTAAACAATATAAAAAGAATCATATGATTCAGGATAAAAGAAGATCTGGCCGACCATCAAAGCTATCCAATGGAATAAAGCGAATTATCGTTCAAAATATTAAAAAAAATCCAAGAATGAGTGCTCCTAAAGTTGCTGCTGATTATATGGAGTAATTGTTAATCCTGAAACTATTAGAAGAGTAATTCGATCTGCTGGATATCACGGTAGAGCAGCCAGGAAAAAATTCTTCGTAAGTGAAAAGAATAGAAAACTCAGACTGGCTTTCGCAAAATCCAACATAAATAAGAATTCTGATTACTGGCATGAAGTTACATTTGCTGATGAGAGTAAATTTAATATATTTGGTTCTGACGGTAGAATCGTGGTGTGGAGAAAACTCGGAAGAATTTCGCAAACGGAACTTGATGCTAACAGTAAAACATGGTAGAGGAGGAGTTATGGTATGGGGATGTATGTCGTCCGCTGGAGTTGGTAATCTTGTTTTTATTGACAGTATAATGGATCAGTACAAGTATATGGACATTTTAAATCAAAATTTGAAATCTTCAGCACGAAAATTAAACCTTCATAACGATTTTAAATTCTACCACCACAATGACTCCAAGCACACTGCTTTGAACGTTAGACTCTGGCTGCTGTATAACTGTCCTGAAATAATAAAAACACCACCACAATCTCCACAATTAAATCCCATAGAGAATATTTGGCAAGATTTGGAATCAAGAATTCGCAAACACACCATTTCTTCAAAACAGCAATTAAAATCGGGGCTTCAAGAAGAATGGGGTAAAATCACTCCAGAAATCACAAAAAAATTAGTCGAATCCATCCCAAGAAGATTAAATCATGTTTTAAAAGTAAAAGGAAATCCAACAAAATATTAAAACCTTTCAAAAAGTAAAATGTTTGGATAAATATTTGATGGAAAAATAAGTGTCCCATCACTTGTGTGAGCCATTTTTTGCTCCGTTCTAAACAATTGTATTTCTATTAAATTAATGTTTTAATATTTTGAAAAAATGTATGTTATGTAATAATTGTTACTAAATTTAAGTATGAAACACACCCACAAAAAGTTTTTAGATGTTTTTTTTTAAATTAATTTTACTACAGTTTCTGTTTGTAAAGCACAAGTGTCCCATTACTTTTGTGAGACACCGTATTAGCTGGGCTCTAATTCATGCATAATCTGGAATAAATTTATGGTACACATTAATACTGCTAAGAAATCTTTGTAATTCTTTAACATTTTTAGGAGGTTTTAATTTTTTAAGGACGTTAATATTCGCATTACTGAGTTAATAGTTTCCTACTTAAACAGCATATCCTAGAAAATTTATTTTCTTTGTAGCAAAGTGGCATTTTGAGTGTTTTATTTTTCCTTTTTCACATATTTCAAATATTGTTTTAAGTTTTAAGTATTGTGCTGTAAGTGTTCTTTAAAACTCTGGGAAAATACTGTAGTGTCTTCAAAATAATTGAAAGCAAATCGAATTCGGTATTTATTCTTTAAGATTTGCCAAAGAACTCTGTGAAAAACAGGTAGGGAATTTTTGCAATCCAAAAATAGTTTGTTTAACTTCATAAAGACTAAAATTGGTTTGTAAATGCCTTTTTTTTTTTTTTTTTTTTTTTTTTTTTTTTTTTTCAAGCATCTTCTTCATTTAACTTTATATGTCAATAACCAGATTCCAAATCTAAGGTAAGAAATACTTTTGTATTAGTTAATTGATCTAGTACTGCAGCTATTCTAGGTATAGGTTCAGAATCTGTTTTAGTAATTTGGTTAAGTTTTGTGTAATCAATACATAATTGATTTTTTTATGAAATTTCATCTCTTTCATAAGCTAATGTTACAGGAGCAGCATAAGGCCTAAATGATGATTTTATAATTTCTGGATATAATAACTCATCTGTTTGTTTTTTAATTTGATTATTATCTTTAGGGGATCCTTAGAGGTTCAATATTTATGCAACCTACATCATATTTACTTTTTGAAAAAAAAAATATTGTATTTATTTATCATTCAGTTGGTTATTTACACAGAAATTTTCACATTCATTTCTTGCAACATTGCTGAAACAGTCAAGTTTAATATTTTCTGATAAATATAAGAACTTATTCTTGAAAAGATTATCTAAACATATATATTTACTTATATTTCTTTTAAATTGATACACATCATAGTCGCTAAAATTCATTTGTTAGTTAAATAAGGGAACACACTGCAAGACCTCCAGATAGAGACGATAACTTCTGTGAAGTTTCATTTTCAATACAACTTAAAGTATCTTCAGAAATTATATGCTAATGTGGCTATTGATATCAGTAATAGTAAAAACGTTATTGCTCCCTACTTGAACACTGAATTTAAAATATTGTCATTTTTTAGGTAAAGCCTCTGATTTTGTGAATATTGTGGTTGATGATAATTTAAGGCAGAATGCTGTGAATTTGGATATTGATTTTGATATAAGATGGGAGTTGATGATAATATAAAGTGTGCTAGTGTGAATTTGGATATCTCAATTGTCGTCGTTGAACATTTCTGCAGACCTGATTTTAAGGCAAATAAGACGTAGGATATAGAATGGTCTTGGAGTAAGATATCTTGGATAATCAAAATATGGATGAGGATTTTATCTAGGAATGGTAAACCAGGGCACAATAGTGGTGCTTTGTGATAATTCTCAGGAGACTTGAGGTTGGAAATATTTTCCTGGCTAAAGAAATCCAATTTTGAAGAGAAGTAATATTGTGAACAGCTAGCAACATATAGTATTGCTCTGGTAATCCTTGAGTGAGGGAGTCGATTGAAATTTGATCAGTTAATTTCAATATAGAGCCTAATTTTAATTTTTGGCAGAAGTATTTATTAATATCTTTAAATTTATTTTAAGTTACTGAAACAAAATTGTCAAAGGTAACATGTTCTAAACTGGGAAAGTATGTGAGAAATTTATCTTTTAAAAGATTCTATATATCTATTTCAGCACACTCATGAGTATAGAATGTTAAATGCTTCTTCTTTCAAACAGTTAGAAAATAAAGCCAATTTTTCTGTTTTAGAAAGTTTTTAATATTTATTTAGTGATGCTTAGTACACACTCACAATGTGAGCACATAATCACAGATCACACCTTAACTAAGGTATTTCTCCCACCTTCCTTAGCATGCCTTCGTAGTGTGGTGGTCTGCATGCTAAGCACGTATTTCAGAGGTCCGTTTCCCGGCGTGTACGTTGCTCATTTTTTCATCTTTATTGCTTTCCCCCTCAAAAAAGGCCTAATGTCTCTACAAACTCAGCTGGGATAATATTTCGTAATCACTTTTATACTCATTAAAAAACACTGAGAGATAAAATAAAGAAATTCATAGACCATATTTCAATAATTGAAAGATGTGCACATTTTACTAAGTAAATCTAGGCTGAGAATCCGGAAATCACACAGCACTTGAAACTGTTTTCCGATGCTGCTATATGCATGTATGGTGAAAGTTTATCTACAGAGAATATAGAATATCCTGCTGGCTGTTTTAATTGTAATAATTTTGGTAGGAGACAAGAAAACATGCTGCAGTTGGCGAATGGACTCTAAATCCAGTAGTGCTTCCCTGCACAGGTTCGAATCCTGTCGACAATTCTAACTTGGCATAGTAGATGATTGCACACAAACTGGTGTAAACGCCACATTTGTTGGGAGGTACTTGTTTAAATATGTTGTTTAGTGTTGATGGAACTTAACAATCTAGAATGACCCTACCATATTCAGTAAACATGAAAGCATTGGTGAAAGACATCAGTATAAAGGTTGTGTAATCATGCTGTGGGCGGGCATCATTCCAAATAGCCATATTGAACTGTACAATTTTTCCAGTGCAGCTATGAATGCGGTAATAACCTCCTCCCAATAGATGTTAATGCTTTTCTGCATTGCACTTCTTGAATGACTGATTATCTTGAGGGTGAGGGTCCATTGAGTGGTGTGGCCTACATATTCTCTGGATTTAATACCAATAGAAGAACATGTAAGATACTCTAGGACACCAACTTGCATCACTGCAGCCACTACCTAACTTTTTCTAGGAGTTTTATTGTGCTAAGCATCATGAATATGCTGTGTTTTGCAGGAACTCTTAAGTAATTTAATATATAGCTTATAGCTTAAAAGATAACTGTAAAGCTTTCATTTTAGTCAATATTTACACCTTATTCATTTTTCCTATGTGTCTGTAAAAATTTTAACACATTTTTTTTCCTACCTCACTTTATATTACATTTCTTATGTTCATATTTAAATTTATTGTTTACAGAAATAAGCAGTTCTGCATTTTGAAAATATGTCAGCATGTCAAAATAAATATCTTTGGCAAGTTCTGTATGTTTAGTTGTAAAATCTTTCAAGTTACATGAGTTTTAATAGCTGTTTTTTTTCCCCTGCTCAAAGATATATAACTGCAATGTATAAATAGATAATATTTGTATTTTTAACTATGCCTTTACTATTTACATTCCTGTTTATTTTTTATATCTCTTTCAGGAAATAAAAAAATGGATCGTGAAAAAAAGCAGTTAAAGAGGTCAGCAAACAAAGTGAAACCTCTGCATGTATCTGATTTTATAGCTTTGGGTTCGAAGTCATCAGGTCGGCAAAGTGATTCAAGTGAGCAGAAAAAAACAAAATCAACATTAATATCTGTTTCAACATCAGAAAGAAAGACTGATGTATCTGGACCATCATCATCAGTACCAGTGAAAAAAGCAAAAATTAGTTCTACTTCTAATTTAAAACGTGTAAGTTCTGCAAGCAAAAAAGAAACTGTGAAAAGTGATGAATGGGATACAGTAGCACTTGAAGTTGAATCCACTGATTTAGTTAACAAAGTGCTCGAAGCTGAAGATTGTAGTGATGATGAAAAAGTAGAAGCACTTTTATGTGGTGCTGTTAAAAAATTAAAGTCTAGTCGCTCAAAATTTGATGCACCTTTGTTCTTAAGTTTACAATATTTAGCAAAAACAAAACCTTTACTTTTCTGTTCTGAGTTAATAGTAGAAGCATTTTGCAGTTTATTAAAGCGAGATTTAAGTATTAACTTTAAAGCTAAAGGAAATAATTTAGTTCCAATTTTAGCTTCAAATATTCTTATGGCTGCTTATAAAGAAGAAAGTAATTGGCCTGAAGTTTTTGTCAAAGCTTATGTAGAAGATTCTCTTGCTGAAAGGGTGTGGGTTGATCATGACTATTGTAAAGGCTTTGTGGACAATATATTGACTGCATTCAAGACCAAATCTATTCCGAAGAATTTGATGATTCCTGATCGTTTGTTTAAACCTGAAGCATGTCCAAGCCCACCTAATATTGGAACAGATGATGATGAATCTTGCTCAAGTGTAAATATAGAAATCCAAGAAAATTTAGATTCTGTTGCAGTATTTCCTAGATATATGCACAGTGAAGAAAGTTTAACTCAGTATGTACTTGATGTCATTAGAGAACAAATGACTCGCCGTCAACCCACCGAAGTATCACGCAATACATTACGCTTTTTGGTGTCTACATGTGGAATAAGTGAAGTTCGGTTAACTGTTTCACAGAAATTGGAAATGTGGCTCCAAAATCCCAAGCTTACTAAACCAGCACAAGAATTACTGCTGGCTGTGTGTCTTAACTGCAATCAACATAATCAGCATGATGTTGAAGTTATTAGTCAGTTAATAAAGATAAGAATAAAAGCCAAGCCAATTATTAATCATTATCTTTTATGCATGAAAGAATTGATTTGCCAACATCCAGACAATTTAAACACACTATTAAAACATGCTATTTATAATGAGCTTTCTACTTCACGTAATCCAAACAACATGCAGTTGCTTTCAATCATTTTTCAACATTCACCTGATAAAGCAGCAAAAGTTTTAGCAGATGTTTTCTTGGATTTACTGTGTAATAGAGATGATTATCTTCGAGCTCTGCGTGGTTTGCTTAGGGAAATAGTTCGTACTGTTCGTCATGATTTGAATTTTTCAGTATTTTGCTCTGCACTTCTTCAAGAAAAAAAGGAAGCAACATTTTTAGAGTTAGAAATGCCACTAAAAGAAAGAGTATTTTTATCAATAACAGATTTAATAGTTCTGGCTATATTTCTAGGTGTAAGCCCTGCTGTAAAAGAGCAGTTTTCCACATGTTCCAGAGGTGAAAAAAGAGATCTAACTCAGCTACGAAATTATCAACTACAAGTGTCTAATATACAAAGGGATTCAGTGTATTGGCTATATTCTACTGTACCAAAACTATTTAAACCAGGCAGAAATGAATTTATCCACAGCATTCATAAATTACTCTTTATGGAACAAATAGAGCATTATTATAATAAAGATAACTGGCCCACAGAGAGTGAGCGAATGTTGCTGCTTCGTTTAGCATCTGAGGTCCCACTTCTTGAGGATACTCTAACAAGGGTCCTTATTATAGGACTTTCTAGGGAACATCCTCTTACTGCACCTGATGCATTAGAACTCGCTGATCAGTTAATCAAAAGAGCTGCTATGACTTACTGTGATGATTTTCCTGTTTTAGAATTTGAAAATACAGAACTTTGTGACCTTATTTTCAACTTATGTGCATATCATCATCCTGAAAATATTACACTTCCTCAAGGATATCATCCACCAAATTTAGCCATATCTGAATTATACTGGAAAGCATGGACTATGTTACTGATCATTATATGTCATAATCCAAGTACATTTGGTGATATGGCTTGGAAGACTTATCCCATGTTAAGAAATTTAATGGAGATGTGTATAACTAATCAATTTATCTTTCCGCCACCAACTTTGGCTCTTGGAGAAAAAGCCGAAGAAATAAAAAATAGAGAACTTCAAATGAGTCAGATGGAGAAGGATCAGATTTTGCTATTTGAAACACATTTAGCTGCTGCTTCAACTAAAGTTACAATCACTGAATCAAATAGTCTTTTATTATCTAAATTGATTTCCATGGATCCTCATGGCCCAGCACGGAAACCTCCAGCTGTGGTCCTGGAACAATTAAAAGCAATGAATTCCAAATTAAAATTGGGCGATTTGCTTTGTCACAGTCGAAACCCTGACTTTTTGTTGGACGTTATTCAAAGGCAAGGTACAACTCAGTCAATGTCCTGGCTAAGTGAGTTAGTTGAATCAAGTGCAAGTTCTTTCAACATGCTTCCTGTGCAGTGCTTATGTGAGTTTTTAATTAGTGATGCTGGTTCTGTAAATGACAGTAGTGATGATGGAGACAGAAGTTGTGTAAAAAAGAAAAAGAAACAAGAGCAACTACTATTCCATTTGCAAAAATTGTTACATGAGCCTGATAGTGAACCCCATGATACTATTGAGGTTATTAGTTATTTTATGAAGAGATTAAGTTCACAGCAGACAAGTGCCAGGACATTAGCTTTGAAAGGGTTAGATATGCTTTTATATCAACCAAATAAATCTCCAATCTCAGATGACGAAGACTTACTCAGAAAAAATGAAATCCATGAGTATAATTGGTTATCAAAAAGCATACCAAGTTTACCACACTTCGATGTTATTAGATCTCAAATTAGCCTATTTTTACGTCAAGCCTGCCAGATAGAAAATGATCCCCTGACTATAGCTTCATATGTGACATTTTTAGCTGTTCATACACCTGATCATAATCTTCAAGAATTTGCAGATTTGGCTTTAGATATGGCTCAGATGATAGTTGAGCGTCCTACCATAGTAAATACTATTTTGCCTTTAGAAGGAAACTGTAATGGACATGGCAGTGACTTTCTATCCTCTGTATCTGAAATATTTTTTAAATATTTATCTGCAGCAAAAATCCCATCAAAAGAAGTCTACTCTTGGTCAGAATCACAGGATCAAATACTAATTCAGTGGGCTTCTGGAGAATCAGCAACTATGCATATTTTAGTGGTTCACGCTATGATTATAGTTCTTACGTATGGACCTCCTGTTTGTGGCAGAAGATCATATTTTGATGCTTTGTTGGAAATTTGGTTTCCAACAGACGGTGAACAACCGAAAGCTTTCTTAGTTGATACATCGGAAGAAGCTCTTCTTCTTCCAGACTGGTTAAAATTGCGTATGATTAGATCCTCAGTAGGTGTTTTAGTGGATGCTGCTCTTAAAGATTTAGACCCATCCCAATTAGTACTTTTTATACAATCTTTTGGAATTCCAGTATCTAGCATGAGCAAGCTTTTGAGAACATTAGATTTGGCTGTGGAATTTGACAGTTTCTCTGTCGAGCAAGCAGTGTTAGATAAGTCTTATATGTCTCAGCTTGTGGAAGTCCAACACAGAAGAGGAGCATCAGGAGGCGTAAAATTTGCAAAATTGTTACTGGATGCAGATTCTACGGAAATGAATACTGATTGCGATACTGTGCTAAATCAGACACCGGTTATTCAGCGTGCTCCCCCTAAACTTCCGACAGCTATTGGGATTGAATCTGTTTCAATTTCTCTTGTCAAATTATTAGGATTAAATCCTGCATTAGGTGTTTTAAGTGCTAAACAAGAACAAGATCTTTTTAAAGGATTACAGAAGGCTTTATCAAAAGACATTTTAGATAAGTCATGCGATAATGGAGCTGTTAGTGTTTTCATTTTAACTTGTGAGCAAATTTTGAGAAGTGATTCCAAAATGGCCTTTCTTCAAGCATTGCATAAAAAATCATATTACTCATCAGTTCTGTTTAGGCTTGCCACAGCTTCTCAGGCTAAAGCTGATGTAAATAAAAGTCAGCTAGCTCAAAAGTTAAAATGGATTTGTCAGCAGATCATTTATTTTGTTTCAGCTACAAATTCCTCGTTATTAACTGTAGCATCTCAATATTATAATAAGCATAAACCACCAGAAACTAAAAAACCAGTACCTTGGAAACTCTTCATACAACAATATGCAGATAATCTTGATATCCAAAATATAATGAATGTAGTTCAGCTTGCTGAAACCAAAGATTCTTTGAGATTAGAGGAAGTAATGCAGTACTTGGTGAAAAATGCAATTTCTAACGGTGATACAAAACCTTTAATGAATGCAATGACAAATATTACTCTTAAACGCTTAACAGATAATGCAAGTCAAAGTATTCAGACATTTAAGCGTTCAAAATTTTGTTTTTTTGTTGATTGGCTTGAATGCTTAGAGCCAAAAATTATGAGTTCATTTCCACAATCACAATGCCACTTGCTGTTTTCTCTGATTGGTACACCTCACGAATCTATAACAGTTCCATTTCGACCATATTTACTTGCCTTACTAATTCATCAGTCCAGCTGGGAAATTCTTCATTATTACATTCAAACCATACTAAATCCAGATGCTGTAGAAATTAAATTTGATCCTACGTCTGTTCTTGATTTTCTGCATGCTTGCATCTACATTCCAAAAATCTGGCAAGGTCGTTACAAGAAAAAAAATAAACGAGGCAATGAGGAAGATATTTTAGCATTATCAGACTTTCAGATAAAATCAGTCATAAATTATATCTTAGAAGAAGCATTAATGAAATGTCCCAAGGAATCTTCAGCTTCCATTGCAAAAGGTATTTCTATAATAGAGTGGCGGATGAAATTGCTTTTGAAATGTTTAGCATTACGTAGATCTTTAATAAATTCATCTGTTCAACACTTACTTCAAATAATAAAAGAAGATGGTATAAAAAGTAAACTAGGCAGTGAATTATTACTTCAAACATATCATCAGATACCTGCTGTTCTTACACTTATATCAGATTGTTTGTCCTTTTTATCTGAAGGATCTAATGCTGCAAAGACAAGTCATTGCAATTTGGATGTAATTTCTCATACATTATTGATTTCTCTTGCTAGAACTGATTCAAGTAAGCACTGTATATCTAAAATGGCTCGTATAGAATTTATTTGTAAAAAAATGGCAAGTTCACATCCTGTGCTACTATTGAGGCAGTTGCCTATGATGACAGCTTTGTTGAGGGGCAGAGTTCATTTGGAATATCCATTGTTTCGTCAACAAAATCATGTTACTCTCTTTGGTTGTTTTTTAAGCATTTTAGAATTGTTGCCTCCCTTTTTGTTCAAGTCTGAATATTGTAGTGATTTACATAATATTCTTTCTTTATATATGGATGTCTTTCAAACGTATGGAACTCCTAAAGAAATTCTCCAGTTATTGAACAGATTCTTCTCATTTCTACTGCAGTACCTTGCTGCAAAACCTGCTTATGCACGGCAGTTTATTCAACAATATATTGACACTCTGCAGGATTTAGCATCACAACATCAAGATTTAGCTAGTCTTCGATCAATTCTCACAGGTTCTTGTATGCATTACTGGGCTGCTCCTGGAACAGCTTCAGGATCAGAGGAGAAAATGGAAGCCTCCATCCATGATGTCATAGCAGGTCTTCAGTTTCAGTCTAATGTGTCACAAACTCATTTATCAACAATCATTACTAGATTAACACAAGGTAGTTCAGAAGATATTTCTGTTGCATTACAAGAGTTGGAAAGTATATCATATAAAAAACCAGCTGTGTTAGAGCATGTAGTTGATAATTTGAAATCTCTGATGCATGATACCAATGTCCAGTTTCGCATGTCCGCTTTTAATCTTGTTATGCGTTATGTTAAAAATAATCCTAATCGAGGATTAACATTTATTTCCAGCTACCTTCAATGTCTAGAGAGTGAACGAGTTGATATTGTGCTTACTGCTTTGGAACATCTTCCAGAATTTGTTGTTCTTGTTCAAGAATATGCTACAGTTCTGTTACAGAAAACTTTTAGCGTTGGTATTATGAAAAACATAAATACAGCACCTCAAATTCGTGGAACTATTGCATATTTAGTAGCGCAGAGCGGCTGTTAATTGTAAATAGTTTCATATGCTTTTAATTCATAACTAACTCATATACCTTTTTTTCTTTTGTTTTAAAAAATAATGCTATAATAGAAAATTAAAGTTATAAAATAATGTCCTGGTAGTTTGCATATCGATATTCACTGTGGTATATTTTTTATTATAATAAGTGCATATGCATTCACTGTGATTAAAGGACACTTGCCATTAGTGGGCAAATTTTAAACCTCGTCCTTGAAATAGAATACTCCTTTAACCCTTTGACATGCACTATATTATTTTTATAATTTAACTAAAAACTCTAGAAATTTAATATTATGATCTTAGAGACATGTAATATATGAATTTAAAAAAAATCTCTCTTGCCCATTGTTCTGTGGGTGGTGGTTGCATCGTGAAACCAGCGTGCGTCTAGGACTTTGAAACTTAAAAATTACCTTTTTCCGTGCGCATTTCCAATAAATGACGAAATATATGACTTTTTAAAAAATGTATGTAAGAATTGCATTATATGTAAATTTTTTTACATTATTTCGCAAAGTAAATTGTCAGAAAAAATTAAAAAATAAACATTTATTTAATTTTTCTATAGCAGTGAAAATATAAGTACCTATGTAATAAGGACGTTCGGATAAATGGATAAAAAAACTCAGTCAAGTAAGGATTAAAAAAAAACTTTTTTTTTATATACTGTTCAAAGCATGTTTTGTCTTTTTGGTACATGCAAAGACCCACATTGCACATTTCGCATGTGTATCTTGAGGTTTCTTCCTGAGTTGGATCCTGATCTTGAAATTTCTTCCTTGTGCTACAAAATATACACTGCCTGGATCTAAATTTCACTGGTATATGTCCAGCATTATTTAGTCATCTGGCATATGAAATTTGTGGCATTATTTAGTCAATTTATTTTCATCTGACACATGAAATTTGTGGTTTTTTTTCTGTTAATGGGCTTGGTCTTTTTGTCTTTGGTACAGATCATTCATTTCCCATTCATATTTCGTCCCAAAATATTTAGAAAATATTTTTAATTTAAATAAAACATTTATGCAATTTCTATTTTTAATTATAGCAAAGTATATTTACATTAAATTTAAACAACGCGGAATAATTTATAAAATCACAATAAGCAAGTGTGTCTTGGGAAGTCAAGTCTTGGGAAGCAAGTGTGTTCAGAGAAAAATCTCTGGAAAAGAAGACCTTTTCACTGGGCAGGGACCTTTTCACTTGTTTAGTAATAAAATAACACTTTGGTTTGAAAGCCCTTTATTTGCATCCGGGTAAAAATAAACATTCCTATCTGAAAAGCAAACAAACGCCATTGTGAAGAACAGTGGTTTCAAGGCACGACCATTGAGCCTCTAGAGGATTGCGAGCATTGTAACACAATGCTCTAGTGGCTCAGTAGTCACGCCCTGAAACCACAAAGCAAATGCCATAAATATAAATAGGTTTTTTTTAATATGCAATTTTTATTGTTTATGGTAGAAATTATGATGTGCAATGAATAACTTTTGAAATTTAAAGTTGTTTGTGTTACTAAAAGGAAGTTATTTTGTCTCATTGAAAACAAATTTTAAAAGGCATCTGATTTGAAATACAAAGACTTAAAATATGTATGATTCTGCAGTCATTTTGTGTTATTTGTAGGTAAAAGATCAGTAATTAATTGATTTTCACTAAATTTCGGAAAGATGAGAAAAAAAATTTGAAAATTGGTGGGTTCAAGGTGCGGACCACCGCACTTCAAAGGGTTAGAGATAAAACTCGAGTCCAAGAGTTCTGCAAATGGGAAGTAAAAATATTATGCTATAGTGTAATATTTGCATCAAAGTAAGGAAAAATGGGTCATTGAATACAGTATATGAAAATTAATCATTGATTCATAAATCACTGAGTATTTTATGAATGATTTCAAAAATTGTTTGCATTATTTTTGCTAAAATTTTGAATGTTTTAATCTGAAGCATTTAGGTTATTTACAATTTAATAAGTAACAAATTCAGTAATGGAAATTTACTGATAAGTCAGGATCCTTAGCTAATGTAATAATTTTATTGCAAAATAAAATGTAAATTTTGCTATACAAATCATATAGTTTTATGGAATGGGAATTATACTAATATTTTTAACAAAATGTAAATATTCAGATAACTAATACATAAACTTGCATATTAAATATTATTCAACTGTTGATGTGCCATTTAATTTCAGAATGATAATATACTTTGAAGTATTATGTGTTGTGTAAATTCTTACAAAGGCACTATAAGTCATTTAAAATATGAGCAAGAATCAAACATTTTGTACATATTATGGAATTATAAGAAAAAATGTGAAATTTGTAGACTGATATTTTGGATAATTGAAAGTTGATAAAAATTTCTGCTGTAGTATTACTATATCGATTACTACCCTATTTATAACACCATCCAGCAAAGTGCTTTAATGAAAATATGTAACTAGTATTTACTTGATAAGTTCGAAATTCCTAGTATAAAAGGAGATGCAAATAGGAATTTGGAACTTTTGATGTATTACTTTTAGTCCTTCAGCATTAAAATGTTTGTTACAGGCTGCTCATTTATTAAAATAATATGCATACTAAAGCTAAATACTTTTATATTTTGCATTCAAAAATAAGTTGAACGTATCTAAAATCTGCAATAGCTTTAGGAAACTAATTTATTACTGTGCTAAAATTTCCACTCTTTCCAGTTTCTTTATTAATCTGTATTTTGATACCAGATGAGAGTACCTTATCTTATTTATTGGTTATGTATTTTAACAACCCATTACATGAATAAAAATTTATTATATTTTTAGATTTTTTTATTTATAACTTTGAAAGTTAGAGCGGAGTGAACTAGAATGCCATAATAGACTGCATTTACAATTTACAATCTAACCATGGATATTCGTAGAACTTATGAATGGTTTCATCGAAATTAAATTTAACAGCCCCAATAGTAAAATGTTTTAAATTTTAATCAAGAATTTAAGATCAAAGATTTTATAAAACGATAATTTAGCTGAAGTTTTAATTCAAAAACATTGTCTGGTTTCTCTAAGAGAAACATATCTTTAAATTGTAAATAAATATTAATGTCAATATTTCTATTTGTACATACTGCTTTTTAACAAACAGTAAGAATAAGGTTCAATAACAGTTCTTCAAACAATAAGAGAATTTCTCCATAGTTATTTTAAATCAAAGATACCATTTAATATTGTGTTTAATCTACAAAATTTAGAATTCCCATTCTTTAAAGTCGAATCCCGCGAACGGGCTGGCTGCATGGGTGTTTTCGTGGTTTTCCCCATGTGTAACGTGTATACGAGCCAGTTTCCCTTAGAAAGTCCTCCACGAAAGGCATCCCTCCTCTTAGGCAGATAGCCCTAGTGTGCTTTGCCATAATTAAATACACCACACCCATTCTTTAAAGAGCATATGTTTCAGTTGTCTGAAGTTCTTTGGAGAAAAAGATTGTGCCACCAGATGTATCATTAAAGTTATCCCTCAGATGGCAGATGGCCAGTGGAATTTAAATCAGGAATGCCCTGGCCAGTCCATTCTATGGATATCTTCTCAAGCACACTTGGCAAATACTTACAGCTATACATTGTGAAAAACTCCAACTCTTAACCCTCTAAGCGGGAAGGCTGTATGTATACGGCTTAGAATATATATTGTGATATCTGTAAGAACTATATATGTGCGTATTAAAATATGTCAATGAAATTAAGGCAATATATCAAAAGAAAACAAATCCAGGTATGAAATACCAGGAGAGTTTTTGCATTCAAATCAAAAAAATAATTTGTTCTCATAGTAGTTTTTGAAAATTTGTGCTTTCTTAGGGAAAACCCTGGCTGCCCAGAGGGTTAATATTTGTTTTTCAGTATTTACTTGATGGCCACTGCTTCTAAGAATGCCTATCTTCTTTGTGTAGACATCAAGAATTTGATTTTTAAGTTCTTTGCAAATAAAAATGTGCATCTGGTCCAAGTACACTACCTGATTATAATGAGTAATTTCTTGGTACAAAATATTACAACAGGGAGTCTTTATGGCAGCAGTGAAGTCATTTACTCTATTGCATGCCTACCTGATACCTCAAAATGCAGTATAGTTCATTTTTAATATAATATTCTGCTTGAAGTACATACCTCCCATTGTTGGAAAGCTGAAAATATGTAACATCTTGATTTCTTGACTTTTGACACATGTACTTCGGTGGATCATGTTATGATGCACCTAATTGTAATATATGTTGTATATTATTTATAAATTTTTATAAAATGGTGCTCACAATTTACTATATTTCTGAGATATTTAAATATAGTAAATTGTGAATACTATTTTGATCATATGTAAAGCACTATTAACAACAAATAAAAACACAGCCACTAAAATGCGGAAAACGTTTATTTGCTGATGGTTTACAAATGCAGTTATGTACAAGTTTATAAATGCAAGGAAAGGACAAATTCAGCACGAATTGAAAACATTGAAAATTAAAAATATGCTGTCATCAAAACCTGTTAAAAAGAGAATAAAAAAATTGTGAATTAATATTTTTATAATTAACTTTATTATTCAGTTGAATTTAAAAGCTACAGAAATCTTAATCTAACGAATTATAATCTATCAAAATAAGTTATACAGTGTTTCTAAAATTGTAAATTATTTTCAAAAATTCTATGCATTACCTAGGTGTATAAAGATGTATATCAGAAACTTAAAATAATGAAATAACAGATCCTTCTCAAGACAAAAAATACATTTAGTTATTTTCATTTATTACTTACCAAGTTTTCTCAAAGAAAATCTTTTTTTAAAAATAATGTTTTATATTGAACTATTAAAAAATACAATATGTTCGAGATTCGCAATTGTCAGGATTTTCGCGATTCTGAATTTCCGAAATTTTATATTATTAACTTAAATCCAGTAAAAAGGCATGTAGAAATTATGAAATTGTTTGTAATATAACAAAGCATTTAAGATTTTAAGAGAATCTAAATTTCTCAGAAAGCTTACTTGTCTAATTAAAAATTTTTTTTCAAAAGTCATTTAAGCAATTTTGTTCTCTGTGTTAATATTTTCTTTCACATTATAGAAAGTTGTTCAGTTATAAAATTCCTATAACTGGCTCTTTTTAACACTTTCTTCATTACCAGCTGTGATATTTTCTGGATTTGAAACTATACTATAAATTTTACTATATTGCATTGTCATTGCAATGAAGACTTCAATTACATCATCTTCATTTAGCATTTCTTAACATATTCCGGTGGTTCTCAACCTTTTGACTACGCGTACCATCTAAACAAAAATTAAAAACCTTTAGTACCACCACTACAAAGTACTACTACCATCACCACTCTTGAACAGAGCTCAGATTGCATAAATTTACGAGTGTTAGAAAAAAAAAACTAAATCAGGATGTTGGGGTTTTAATTTTTGAATTTAATAGTTAAAAATATCTTGCTTCTTTGTGTACCACATATTTTTCTCTTGCATACCACCAATTGAGAACACCTGACGTATTCAATTAATTGGAAAATTTCTTGGTTCTTTTCCTTTAAGACCATACACTTGGAGCTCTTTTTGTATTTCCAGACTTTTTCTTTTTTTCAGGAATATGTACAATTTAGGATTTGCCATGAGATGAACAAATGGTTATCCTCTTTCTTCAGGAAACAGGTATTCTGTTCTACACAAAGAAAGGTAGTGTTTGACCACCACTTTATGAAATTAAAACGAGACTTCTAAACAGGCAAAGCTTAAATGGTGATATTTTTTGGTTTTAAAAATTATATTACAGATTTTGCCACTACTTATTGATTGATGACTGGACTGAAATATTTACTGATTGACAATTATAATGGATATTACTATATCACTTTCATTCAGCATTTCTTCTCATAATCTATTAATTGGAAAATTTTCCTTTTTACTTGTGGTATCATCATCATCCTAGAATAAGGTAACTAGTTATAAGTTATGCCAAGCATTTAAAAACATATTTGCAAATGTCTTCTCATAACATTGTTGTTCCACACATCAGATTATATTAAAATATTTAAAGAATTCTTAGATGATCTCATTGCACCGAATTTAAAAATTATCTGTATTCTTCCATTTTATTATGCACAGTTTTGAAGAAGCAATAAAACGAAGATGTTTATCTCGGATTAAGAGAAAATGCTTCCAAAGCAAAAAAGTAAACACAAATGATTGATTTCTTCAAAAAAGTGTAGCTTTACAGTTATGCTTTTGTAATTACATAATATATTACAGTATTAAAACAGTACACATGTATTAATTTTTCTCTATATCTTTGACACCTCTCGTAAGTATCCAAAGCACTTTTCTATTTTCATTAACCTTTTAACTGTCAAGTTATTTTGATGATTTGGGTGTATAAATTGTGAATTTTTTTTTTTACTCCAAAAATGAAATGTTTGCCTCAAAGTCAAATAATCAAAAAAATGCCGTGCACTTTGAACTTTAACCTCTATCCTTTGAAACCTTCAATCGAATGCTGCCATCTGTTGAACTGAAGCCGAAATAAACTTTTCACGATATATATTCGGATATAACAATATGATGTACTCAAAAAAAAAAAAAAAAAAAAAAAAAAGCCCGAGTAATATTCGGGCATGACATTTTGGAATACCAGTGCTATGCGCGAGATTATTTCGGGGATGAAAGTTAAAAGGTTAACAAAATGCATTTTAGGTTAGTTTTGAGTGATATACTAAAATATTAAGCGTTAGTTAAACATTTTCTGCTTTTTATTTTACGTTTTATCGTATATAAAATGATTTTTTAAAGTTGGAATGACTTTTTTTTTTTTTTTTTCTATACCCGTTTTTAGCTTTTTTTAAGATTATCCGCGGCAGCTGCACCACCCAATTCCGCGGATAATCGAGAGTGTAGTGTACACATAAAATGAAATTTAAACTTGTGAAATTGTGGCCTTTTATGGGCCATTCTTGGTAAAATTTTAAATGTGCCACAAATATAGGATACAATTAAATAATAATTTTTAAACTTTTAACTCAACACACACCGAGTTCTCAAAAAGGACTTACCTTTCAAATTTGATACTTTCATTTTTTCCCAGACTTTTTAATGCCACCACCACCTACGTAAATATTAATTAATAAATATAAATGGCAATTTATGATACACCTATTTAACAAATTCTTTTTCATCATAACTTAAAAATGGGAAGCTGATTTCATGTGATTAAAAAAAAATATATCAAATATACAGGATGAAATTTCATTGAAAGTCAACTAGTGTAATTGTTAACATTCACTTTAGTTCACTACCAAATTTCATTTTTAAAAGATATGATTTACAAGAATTAAATATATATATTTCTTAACTGTAGTCTGACATTTTCAAGAAATATCTGTATTTTTAATACACGTGCAACTTGACATGAAAAGCATTTAGATACAATTTACTGCTTAGCAATAATAAGATAACTGTAAACTTTACACAGCATATACAATAAAATTAAAGTGAACAACTCATTTATCATTCAGATACCTACTTAGCAAAAATAAGACTAAATAAAGAAACTATAAATTTTACAGAAATAGGCTAATCAAGGCACATGTATGCAAGATAAATTAAACAAAATTTACAATTTATAAAATAATTTAAATAATATTGCAGTCAGAGTCTGCATACAAGTTAACATCATGATATTTTCATTTTCTATTAAGTTCTTTCTTGGTTGATTTAGTCCTGGGGTCCCCAACCCTTTTGTGCCTAAGAGCACATTCGAGAATATCTGTTGGATGGCATTTACTTTTTCAAGGTGAATTCATAGTTGGATATATATGCACATATTAAGAGATATCGGTCGCATTTCACTTCATGCTGGTATCTGTGTTGGACATAATTTCTATTTCATTAAAAATGAGAACATTTTTACATAGAATTTTAATGAAAACTTAAACATATTTTTATTGTGACAACACAATGGGAGGCACATGTTAGATGATCGGTGGGCACCATGTTGCCCACAGGCATAAAATTGGGAGCCTCTGGTTTAATCAATGAATGTAATCTTTTAAGATCCTCTACGCTTCTCAACACAGATATATAAATTAACCAGTTATTTTCCTGACTGGAACAAGTGACAATATGCTCTGCGGGCTATGATTCGCATAGAGTTAATTTATACATTTGTTTCCAAAACATCTTTTCTTATCCATATTTGAGATCAGTTGATAGGTATATCTTCTTTTATTATTATTCAACCATCTATTCTGTTAATAAAGAATTACTTTTTTTATTAACTATATCTTTCAAACTGTCATATATCATCATAAGCTGTAATATCAAGTACACTGCTCAAAAAAAAAAATGGGACAGTCCTATATCTCTCGATCTACTGGGCCGATTGACAAAATTCAAATTGCGTTCTTCATGTCTCGAAAGCGCGACTTAGGATATATATTAGTTTTATATATAGCACTATTCTAACATAGGTATTTTGACACAAAATCGGACCTTTTTCTGAAATAACATACCAATTTTTTTACATATTTCGATTCTACGACTCAAATTACACCTAAATATGAAATTTTGTAAAATTTGGAGCGAAATTTACGGAGAAATTCACAAATTTATGTTGGCACTTTTTTGTCAGTTGCGCCAAGAATAGTTCACTTGGCGAACTTCTTAATATATGGCAACCTAGTTTCCTTTCCTGTGAGCGGAAAAAAAGTCACCATCGTTCCTTTTTTCCAAATAATATTCTTTATATTATATTTTTAATTATAACTTATTATTTTAAGTAATTTTTTCTTTTTCGAATTTCATTTTAATTGTTTAAGTTGCATGGTTTTTTTTTTTTTTTTTTTTCGAATAACTATTTTAAAAATTTCTACTTACTTATTCGAACTGCGTAAATAAAGGTGCAGCATTTATTTTTTTTCAAATAGTTTTCTTTATATATATTTTTTGTCATAGTTATTATTTTAGATAATTTTTAAATTCTTAACTTTTATTTTAATTGTTTGTGTTGCATTGTCTCTTCAGATAATTGTTTTAAAATTTTCTATTTATTCCTTCGAATTGAGCATTTTAAATATATTTATTAATATAAATTTTCCAGAATTTGATTTTATTTATTTGAATTGTGTTTCTTTCGGAGGAATACTTTGTAATCCAGACTACAATGCGTTTGAAAACTGCATATATTAAAAGAGAAAATACAGTAAAGCACAGTTAACACGCCTTTCAATGTTCCGTTCAGAAAAGATATATATAAATAAGAGAGACATTTAACTTAGGATGACTTGCATACACTGCTTTAAACAGTTTTATCATTGTGCCCATTGCTTTACACAATTTTATCCTACATTTGGCTTCTTAAATGTTATTCATATTTTAGTCAAATATTTTATTTTTGAAATCGTAAAAATCAAATATCATAAGATTAAAAAGTTTTAAATAAAAAAAAAAAAAAAAAAAAAAAATACAAATACTAAATTTTACCGTAAAATGTATTTTTTCTTCTCTTTTTCTTCAGGCATTCTACTTTATTCTTGCTCTTTTTCTTTAGGCATTCCACAAGTATATTAAAAAATATCCAATTTTCGAAATATCTTGATATTTCTGACAATCATTTTAAATAAAGTTATCGCCTTCCATTTCATAAAGGCCCACAAACGGCCGAGCGATAAAGTCGCTGAACACTGATAGTTCACTCCGGGGTTCGAATCCCGGTAAACGGGCTGGTTGCATGGGCGTTTTCGTGGATTTTCTCATGTGTACCGTGTAGTTCTTCATAAAGGCATCCTTCCTTTTAGGCAGATAGCCCTGCTTTGACGTAACTTAATAATTCAATTCAATCCATTTCATCAATATTTGGTCAGAGCTTTTATCAGTCTTTAGAGGCTAAACATTTTGAAGGTATGAGATGAAAGGAAAGACTGGTTTCATCAAGAGGTTTTGGTTTATTTAATTATGACAAAGCACACTAGGGCTATCTGCCTAAGGGAAGGGATGCCTTCGTGGAGGACTTTCTAAGGGGAACTGGCTGGCATACACGTTGCACGTGGGAAAAACCATGAAAATGCCCAAGCAGCCAGCCCGTTCGCGGGATTCGGACCTCGGACAGAACTACCAGCGTTTAGTGACTTTATCGTTCGGCCGCTGTTTCATCAGAAGGAAAAAAAAAAAACATCTTTAGGTGACATCCACATACATCACTGGATAAACTCCTGAATCTTCAAATAATTCGAATGAGAAAATCATGGGATTCTCCATTTATGATACGTTATGATGTTCTATAACGTAATTTAAATTTATACAACCATATAGTCTAAACCATATTGTCTTTTCTGTTAACCACAAGCTCAATTAATGGTATTTGCTGGTGTACACGTCCAAGTGTTTTTTCTTTGAACACCTAAATTCACTGAAGTATCCTGAAAGTATCTTCAAAAGCGTCCAACTTTTTGAAACATCTTGGTATGTCTGAGAGCCAAATTTCCCTGCAAATTTTTGCTTACTTTTCTCCCTAATTTTCTTCTTTCCTTCTACAGTTATTTTCAGTGCACACACAAGAAAATTAAGATTTTTCGATTGCTAGACTTCCATAAATTTTGCTTTCTTGTCAATTTTTTAAAATATCAATTACATGAATTGCGTTTCAGCTGAAGACAGCCTGTCATTTTAACTATAAATAAAAAAAAGCGAAGTCCAAAGGATAAATATTTTAATTAAAAGATTTTTGCTAAATGACAAAGAAATAAAACAGTCCAGCAGGGTTTAATTCTGTACCACCGTGTAACCCGATTCTTATATCGGCTGAAACAATCTAAATCATATTAAAGATCATGTTTTTTTATACAATCTATAACGCAAGAGAAAATTTTAGCTTCTTAAAACATTCTTTCTGAGAGGATTAATATAAAAGATTATATTTATATATATATATGTAAAGCTGGGACTTGAACCAAACTGTAAAATTTTTAAAGTTTAATTTACATGGTGGTTATAATTAAAGTTCCAATTTGAAATGGTCATAAAAGGAAAACTACCGTACCAAATGTTATCAAACTTGGGAATCGTGTAAAGGAGGTTATGAGAATTTATTTTCAGCGAGGAAAAAAAAAGTTAAAAAAACTCATCACCAGGGGGAAAGCGACGCTGTATACAAGATTCTTAAATGAAATAAGACACGAAAACATCTGTTTAAAATGTGAATTTCCGAAACGTGTTACAAAGCATGTTCAATGTAGCATCTAGCATTTTCCAAAAGCAAGTTAAATCCTGTTACTGCATTCTCAACAGCAGCTCTTAACATATCGGGAGGAATGTTACGGACATGTCAGTGTTTAACATTTTTCATTTCTGCCAAATTGTTTAGATTATCACCATAAACAGTGCTTTTGAGAAAACCCCATAGCTAAAAGTCACAGAGGTTGAGGTCTGGTGAGAAGAGGGGAAGTGTTGGCGTATAAGACGTTCATTCGTGAAATGTTGCCTAAGTAACTGTGCGACACACGTGAGGTGGGGCCCAGCCGTGCATAAAAATCGTAGTATCTAAAAATGCCACGTTACTGCAGTTCATGTATCACGAAACATTTTAACATTGACTCTAAATGAGCTGCAATCACAGTAGTCCAGCTGTCGACTGTTCTTCAGAGAAAAATGGTTCAGTTATAAAACTAGCTGTCATTCCACACCAAACGGTGTGGAATGACTGCTATGCAATCGAATGCAGTAGGAGAATGCAATGGAACTAGATCGATAACATGAGGGATTTTTTTGGCCCCAATCGATTAAAAGCGTTTTGAATCAGTATCTTCATGTTTTAGGGCCGAATTCAGGCTTAAAAAATTACAAATTAGCGATCTGTAAGAAAACGATTTCCAGATTGTACGCACTTGTGCGAGTGATTTGCGATCTCACATTTTCTAATCGCTAATTCGTGGTTTTCACGGACAAATTTCTCACTTACACGGATGGCGCACACGACGTTTATCGAATTTAACGCCTTTAAATGGTAATTTTCTTACTTCAAAATTTCTTAAGGGTATGCAACATATTAAACCCGTGTAACAAAAGGTTAAGTTAGATTCCGACCCATATTTCGTTTAAAAATATTGCATA